ACATTGTAACTGCAAACACACAATCATCACACACAAAACTAATGCCGTTTACAGTGCACTGTTGTGTACATTGTTTTGTGTACATTGTATTGTGTTGTAAAGTACATTGTGTTGTGTACACTGTGTTGTATACATTGTGTTGTGTTGTATAGTACACTGTGTTGTGTACATTGTGTTGTATACATTGTGTTGTAAGGTACACTGTGTGTTGTGGACATTGTGTTGCATAGCAGACTGCATTGTGTACATTGTATTGTGTTGGATAGTATTGTGTTGTATTGCGTAGTACACTGTGTTGTGTACATTGTTTTGTGTTGTATAGTACACTGTGTTGTGTATATTGTGTGGTATAGTACATGGTGTTGTGTACATTGTATTGTGTTTTATGGTGCACTGTGTTGTGTACATTGTGTTGTATAGTACACTGTGTTGTCAGGGCTGTAGCTACCATGGGGCGAGTGAGGCACTTGCCTCAGGCGCAGCTGAGAGGGGGCGCAGCCAGGGCCAGTCTGGCTGCGCTCCCTTGCCCCTGTTGCCAAGGCGAGCACAGGGCGCCACTGGCAACAGGGGCGCCAGGAGGCCAACACAGCCACGGCTTGGCAGGGAGAAGAGGGGCGGCACAGGCTCCAGCTTCTCCTTGGTGCCACCCTAGGCCCTAGGCCTAGTTTGCCTCGCGGTAAATACGCCCCTGCCCCTAATATTTCCCGGAAGCCCCCAACAGTAAAAAAAAAATTTTTTTTTAAAAAAAGCACCCCTCACACTCACACACATATTACTAGACCTGTGCTAAGACTAAAAATTTGTTTCGGATGAAATGAATGAAAACTAAAAAAAATGTCATTAGTTTCGTCAAACGAAAAAAATGTTATGCTATTTAAGATTTGGCCGCCATCCTGGGATCGGGGCGCATGGCGTCACATACCGCACACGTCTGTTGGGGGGGCACAATTTTTTGTTCTTGCCTCGGGCGCAAAAGGAGCGTGCTACAGCTCTGTGTGTTGTGTACATTGTATTGTGTAGTACACTGTGTTGTAGACATTGTGTTGTATAGTACACTGTGTTGTAGACATTGTGTTGTATAGTACACTGTGTTGAGTACATTGTATAGTACACTGTGTTGTGTACATTGTATTGTGTTGTATAGTACACTGTGTGTTGTGTACATTGTATTGTGTTGTATAGTACAGTGTGTTGTGTACATTGTATTGTATAGTACGCTGTTTTGTGTACATTGTGTTGTATAGTACACTGTGTGTTGTGTACATTGTATTGTATAGTACAGTGTGTTGTGTACATTGAATTGTATAGTACAGTTTTGTGTACATTGTGTTGTATAGTACACTGTGTTGTGTTAACTTGTGTACATTGTATTGTGTTGCGCTCAGTTCGGCGTTTTGTTGTCCCGAGCAGCAGAGCGGTGGGCGGGGTAAAGTGGGCGTACCTCTCTTTGCTAAAACTCCTCCCCTCTTCCTTAACAACTCACGCTGCTCTACGCAAGGCTCCTCCCGTGGCCCCGCCTCGCACACATTGTCTCTACAAGCAGCTTAGCTTAGGCCCCTCCTTCTTTCCCGCCCCGCTCACATTGTCCCAACACAGTGGCCAGCGCAGACTCCGCCTCTGTCTCCGCCCCACTCACATTGTCCCCGCAGCTGGGCGCACGCCGTGTCTGGGCTGGGGGCGCCGCTGGGCTCGGGATGCCCCCGGATGAGGGTCTGGGGGAGCTCCGCTCCTGCTGGCGGGTCCCGGCCATCGCCCACTTCTGCTCTCTGTTCCGCACCGCTTTCCGCCTGCCCGACTTCAGTATAGAGGTAAGTCCGAGGAACAGTGTTCATCACAGTGCCTGGGGAGGGGGGACGGTGCTGATCACAGTGCTGCTGGAGGGGGGTATAGTAAAAGTTCGCTTGCGGTATTGTTGGTGTGCTTTGTAATTAAAGCGACTTCCTGCCCCGGGGTAATTGTACTTGGGGTAAAACTGAGAGAGGGCAACAAAAAATGGGGTATTGTACGAATGGGGTGATGGGTGCATAGGGGGTAACAGTGTTAGGCATATCTGGAGTGTAGATATCTGGGATGTAGAGGAGTTGCACCCCACTCCTGGGGGGGGGTATCTGGGATGTAGAGGAGTCGCACCCCACTACTGGGGGGTATCTGGGATGTAGAGGAGTCGCACCCCACTCTTGGGGGGGTACCTGGGATGTAGAGGCGTCTAACCGCACTCCGGGGGATGGGTCCGTGGTATAGAGGAATCACACCCCCGGGGGTATCTGGGGTGCAGATGAGTCACAATGCTAGGGGTATCTGCAGGCAAGGGTATAGGGGTAACAGTGCTGGGGACATCTAGAATATATAATTTCTTCAGGTGTTGGGTGGGGTTTAGAGAGCTGACAGTGCCCATAGACCTCTCCAATCACCATATTGGGCACTGATCTGCCCTGTCCTCAGATGTGTGGGGTCACTTCAGGGTACTCCGCGATGTGGCACCTCCTGCCCTCTGCCAATGCTTTCTTGTTTTTGGGTGTAATGCGCCCCTCCTGGGCTTCGTGCTGTGGGTGGGGACTGGACTCCGCTCTGACCCATCTGGCTGCCAGACGCTACTAGGCAGCAGTTGGTCCCAAAATTTAGAACTCCGTCTGTCAGGCATCGTGTCACATCTCCCGTCTTTGTGTCTCGGGGTCACTTGCTGCTGTGATTCTGCAAATCCTGTTCACATTGCAGAAACGGAAAAACCGAGTCTCTGTGGAAATCCTCTGATGGGACCAAAAAACCCCATCACAACGCCCCTCTCCGGGTCGCCCAGCAGTCATGACTAGAGGGAGGTGGAAAGTTTATATGTGATGTCATCAGTCCGGCTTTAACTTTTGAGCAGAAGCTCTGATGGGTGTTGTGCTCCTTCCACATGTAAAACCTTTTTTAAAAAAAATATCCCCAGTTGAAACTTTTGCCACTTGGAAGTGTAAATCCCGACGCGACCCTCAGCCATCCGACGCCAGTTCTTGTGACCATTAAAATTGGTGGCGTTGACTAGCGGTGGGCGCAGAGCCATACCAGGCGGTTGGACGCGATTTGGTTTTTTTGTTTTGCATTGGGACGTATGCTGCGTTTGTAGCATGATCAGTGTCTGTGAGTCTCAGAATGACACTTATGATGTTAAGTTGTACAAGAGATACAGAACTGTCTAAACATATTGTGTAACATCGGGAACTGGCTGAAAATTTCCTGCTCGGCCTCTGAATAGAAATATCGGAATGATTTGCACCCAAAGAACTTGGCGTCACTTCAATGATAAAAAGTGGCGGTTGCTTAGTGACGACAGTTCACAACAGCTTGTTACAATGTTTCCCTTCTCTTGTTCCTGTAACATCCATGCAGTCAGCGGAAGTCTTGTTTGCTTTTGTTTTTTTTAAGTAAATCCAAAATAAAAACTTTTTGTGTGTCTTGGATAGAAGAGGAAATGACAAAAGTCCCTGACACGTTTTCTCTGTCCTCTGTGCCAATCTGAGAAACAAAAAAACAAAAAAAGGGCGCCTCCATAGTGTAAAACTGTAGTTTAAAGGAGAACTATGAGGTGAGTGCTTTTCACTGACCTCATAGTTCTAGCCGACCTGTGACAATGAGACTGTCACAGGTCGGCTCAGTAGATCGGGAGGTGAGCGAACACATACCGGCATTCACTCACCTCTCGATCCTGTCACGGCTCTCTGCCGTGACAGGGGAGGGGCTGGATTCCCCCCTCCGGTCCGCCAGCGCTGACTGGCGGAACGGACGGGGGATGGGGCGGGTACAGCTGGCTCTGCCTCTAGATAGGTAGAGTCAGCTGTCAGTCACGCAGCTGGGCGGATCCTGGCATAATTGTCGGGATCCGCTTCAGCTGCGGCGTCTCAGTATATAGTGAGCTGTAGCTCGCGGTATACTGAGCTTAGGGTGACGGGAGGACGCTAGTTTTTTGTCCTCCCGTTACCCTAAGGAGAACTATGGGGAAAAGCCCTGACCCCATAGTTCTCCTTTAATGATAAAACACGCAGCTTGAGCTGTACTTGCAAAACATCTGTAGAATAAAAGAATGTAGAACACGATGGGAAATCGAAATCACTGACAGACAAACTGGAAGGATTTGTACCACCAGCTTACTCTGCCCCCAAGTATTCCACGGATTTCCGCGTTTCTGGGGCACGCCCCCTTCATCAGAGCCTCCTGTAGTTTATCATTAAACTACAGTTTTACACTATGGAGTCGCCCTTTTTTGTTTCTCAGATTGGCGGTCTATTTGATCAGTGGGAGCTGCCTCATCAGTGTTGCCATTATCAGAGCTGGCTAAATTGTAATTGGAGGCGCCGGTGTTGTTTTTGTTGTCATCTGTGCCCCCTGGGGACATCTCTCTACATGCTGATGTTTAGTCTGCTTAAAATTTCCCTTCCCTGGCTGGTGGGAGAGGCCAACAGGGTGCTGTACATAGCTTCCTGATAACGTCCCCGCAGCCTGCCTCAGAACTCCTCTCAAGCGTCCTCAGTACTGATGCAAGCAGTGGGGCTGGCTCTTGGGAGGAGTTATGCAAATATCAAAACGTTTAACGTGTGGATGTCATTCTGGAGAAGGGGGTGTTCCTGGGCAGGTAGTGCTTGCATAAAGACCGCCCTAGGTAGTGCCCACGTGTGATGCAGAGGCTCCGTGATCGAAACAAGTGAAATGTAATGTCTGAGGGCTTGTTCACACCAAATCCAGACCACATCTGCATGAGTTTCTGCACGTGCAGTGCTTTTTTTTTTTTTGGCGCGTTCCATGTAGTTTTTTAGCCTAAAATGGGCTTCCAGGGCGTTTGCATGCATTTTGGTGCGTTCCAGAGCAGAAATAAATAGGTCATGCTGCAGGGACCAGGGAGAACACAAGTAGCCCCCCTGCAGTAGCAGTAGTAGTGTTCTCCCTGGTCCCTGTGTGTGTTGTAAAGTAGCCACGGCTCCAAGCTCACTGCTGTGATGGACTACAATCTCATGTTTAGTTTACTCATTTGTATTGGGATTGTAGTCCATCACAGGAGCGAGCTTGGAACGGTGACTACTTTACAACACACACAGGGACCATGGAGAACAAATGTAGCCACCCTGCAGAAGGAAGCACAGTGTCGGCACCAATTCAGAGATGATTTGAGGATCTACAGCCGAGTGATACACAAATAAGACTCTGAGGGCCGTGTATTGACATGTCTACCCACAACAGGGCCATCTTTCAGCTGTTGCTCGAAAGCAAATCATTATTCACTTCAATGTACCAGTTATTGTCACGCCTTAGAAGAGGGATGCAAAAATATATAAGTTGCCTATTTTGTGTCCCTTTTTTGTGGTCTTTAGA